ATATATATTCGTAATTTTGCATGTGTGCCTGTCTTGTGGGAGTTCTAATATCTTCACCTTTGTGTGGTCAAGCCAGCGCAGCGGGGTGCCACATCATTCTAATTTATGGCTGATCTCTTTAAGAATGCATTCTTTGTATTTGATAGATAGAAGTTAGATTCTTTAGAATGAATTCAAAGAAAGATGGCGATGCTATGTAATGTTTTAGACGTGATTTTATATTTGGTAATAATGTTATTATTAAATTTACAATGTATTTTCTTAAAGAATTACGTTCTTTTTTTTAAAATTAGGGTGGCATTATTGAAATCAAAGTTATGTCCAGCCTCGTTTCCATGCAAAACGAGAGAGATCGTTTGTTCAAAAGCAAGTATATCTATGTGTGTGTGTGTAGGGGAGGTTTATGCTTTTATAAAATCAATGACCCAAACAAAACAATTTATATTTCAGTTCAGGAATTATTATGCATTTAACGACTGATAGAATTTCGTGTGTGATGAAACCGTAAGGCACATTGTCTCCAATGCTGAATTCATTGGATTTACATGAAAAAAGTCTAGTATACATTGTATAAATTTCAACCTAATTATAGAAAATATTTTGATAAAGGCCAAAACAGCCGAAAGTTTTTGAGACATGCTTGGAAAATAACCTTTGCACATTGAATTTTAACAAACGTTCTCTTGGATGCGCCTTCCAAAAGAAGAAATCAGTTGAAAATTAAAAATACATAATTCCAGGAATAATTTTTTTATACTCTTGTGGCAGTAGAGACTTCAGGGGTTATTGGCCCTCGTTCGATGGCGTTCCTTCGGAGGATTGGCGAGATTGCGTCTCGATTAAGGGACGAGCCTCGCGAAACAGAGTGGCTCTTGCAGCGTGTCTCACTGGTTCGAGGTAATGCCTTCTCCATCATTGCGGCCGGCAGAGGATAGCAAAATAAAAAAAAATGTTTATAGTTTCTGGAATTGTCATCAATGATCAACTGAACTTGCTTTGTTTCAATAAATTCGCTTCTAATCTCAAAGAAAAAAAATCAATAATGGATTCATTTTCTAATGAAACGCAAAAGCATAACTGTCAGCCGTAGCATTTAAACACAAAAGAAAAAAAATTCAATTATGGAAAGCTACACATATTTTTTGCCTTACAAGTTGAACCCCTGATGATAATGTCAGACATTTATTTACGAATACAAGACAGAAAGCAGTGATTAAAGCAATATAGATAAAAATACTTGAAGCAAAATACATTGTTCATGACAATAATTCTCTTTTATTGCGAAATCCGTATTCTCCACAACAGGCAATGATCACATATCAACTGTATTATTATTTACTACAGGTATGTGAGTCTACTTTAATACTGAAGGGTCTTCGGGTCCATTTTTATCAAGAAATGTCTCCTTTCAATTATCTTTTCTGAAGCGACTTGGCATCCATTTATGTGAATAAAGTAGCTTGACTCTATTAGATTTCATCTTGAAGGGGTTGGGATCTATTTACACGAATAAACAGATCCGTTCTGTTATAATCTTATCATTTGAATGGATCCAAGGAGATCCATTTATACATATACAGGGTGTCCCCCAAAAATTGACATCATATTCGCAGGCCAATAATTTTGGCAATTCTTAACCTCAAATTTTTACAGATCAAGATTTTATATTTAATGGAAGAGGACAGTACGTGCTTATCTCAATTAGAATCTGCCAGAAAGATGGATCGGAATGGTGGCGATGAAGACAGTTTTCTGATGAAATGGCCGCCACGGTCACCGGACCTGTCCCCGTGTGATTTCTTTTTATGGGGATATGTGGGGGTCTGGTCTTTGTCCCCACCCTCTTCCTGTTAGCATTGATTATATCAATCAGAGAAACTTCCGTACATGGATAATGTTACCGGAGATATACTACAGCGTGTTTGGTAGCTGCTTAACTACCGACTTAACGTGTGCCGTGTCACAGGCGGTGCATATATTGAACACTTATGAAATTGGTTCAATAATAAACTTATGATGTTAAACCCCTAATCTGTTCAATTTCATTGATCTAGACTAAGTAGTTTTCAAGATAATTGCTATTAAAATTATATCAAATTTTGGGGGACACCCTCTATTTTTCAAACAAATCAGCTTATTGAAATGTCATCGATTGGATTGCGAAATTGAACGAAAAGTAGAGTTTGGCAAATCCCGACTCAAAATGTTTGCGATTATTTCAACAACATTAAATACTGCGAGGATTTTAACATGCGTCAGAATATTGCAAAACATTCTAATAATAAAAACTATATTTGTTTTATTTCCATTTCGGATACAAAACTAAACAGAAAAGATGCTTTCGAGAAAATAATCTTAGTGAAGAGGATACGCTTTCCTTAAAAATGGAAAATAAAGCATTGCTTCCTGTGACGCCCTGCGTGGCCGAGAGATAACGCACACTGATGTCTCCTATAAGTTGTAGGTATTTATCAGTGCGGCTCACGTCACAACCGTAATC